AGCACTGGGGCACAGGTCAAGGGCAAAGGCTATTACAAGAGGAAGTTTCTGTTGGTGAGTCCTTCATTCTCAATCCATTTCAAACTGCAGGTCACATGCCAGAGGGGATGGATATGAGTTCAAAGATGCCATTAGGGGAGTTACATATTGAAAAACAAATTCCAGGGACTGAAGAGGGGGACCCAATAAATAACACCAGCCCTGTAATGTCATGTTCCAAACGGGAGTCTCCTTTAAACCAACTACATGTAGAGTTACCCGAAACTATACAGTCATGTGAACGTGAGTCTCAAAAATTAGGAAACCGTTCTCTGAGCCCAGTTCATGGTCAAGAAGGGCCAGGGGGTACAACTGTGTTCAAGGCAGGGGTAGTACAACATCAAGGACCCAATCCTTTGTCAGAGAGAGGGGGTGCCCCGAACCTCTTGGTCTCAACAATGTCTGGTCTTGCATGGGAGGCCCCTTTTAGCACGTTTGAAGCTTTGAAAGAAGATGAGTGTTCAAAGATGAAAATTGGGGATGGTGCCCTTGGTTTGATGCCCGAAGGGACAGCAGAGATGTTGAGGGAGGTTGGAAACTGGGCAGAAAGAGTGGAGCAGGCCGAGGCAGAAGAAGCTCAGATGAATGGAGAACAGTCACAGCAATGGGACCCTGGCATTGCTTTCTTAGAACACAATCAGCAGTTGCTCACAGTGCATCCACTGTTAGAAAACAATGGTGTGTGTGGGATTTTAGACAATCCACAAAGGGAAGGAAAAGGAGTCATTCAAAAGGAGGGCATTGAGGGGATACTTCCAACCCAGCCCGTCCAGTTTGAGTATGACTTCCAGTTGTAGGGAGGGGAACTAGGGGATCAACCAAGCAGGGGACATGCCAGCAGTGCAGGTTGATCCTCTTGTAATGGATCTGGCTACACAAATGAACTGATAGGGGTGTACATAAATGTAAATACGTTTTTTAATGTTTCCTATTGTTATGTATCCTGTAACATTGTTTTATTATGGAAGGGCCTGGGGAAACATCTAGTTGTGTATTCATACCCAAGGGAACCCCTTGTTATATGGGGGGTCTTAATTGATAAAATTGGGGGGAGTGTAGTACCCCGGTAGGTATTTAGTCACACCATCTTTAGACGATCTACCGGAAGTACCCAGAATCCCTCTCTTTGGAATAATGGATACTTAAAGCAGACGCTAACAGCCAGCAAAGAGCCATCCAAGAGCATCGGTGCGGTTATGCACTTAACCTAAGGTAAGCAGACGCGGCAATTCTTACAGGTTCCTATACCGATTCAGAACATAAAATTTAGAACATAAAATGTCACTGTTGCACTAAGGTAGGCCTTTAACAATTCTTGCAGCTTCATGCTGAAGTTTTTCCAACAGTTCAGTATTTGCATCAACATAATTATCCCATATTTCACAATCTTCCTCAAATAAGGGTCTTATATAAGTTAAATAAAGTTTTTCAAGATTTGAAGTAGTGAGTTTATATTTGAATTTCCGTAGTACGCCTAGAAATTTTGATATGTTTTTGAAAATTAAAAAAAAAAATGATCGTTCTATTTACAATCGTCACTTAAAGTTATACCCAAGTGTTTGTGATTAGGTACTATCGGTTTATTATTTAGTCGACATGAAAGGTCTTCTGGTCATTGCCTGTTTGTGAAATATATTATTTCTGTCATTTTTGGATTAAAAGACACTTCCCTAGGTTTTTTGACCAGTTATTAAGTTCAGTTAAGTCATTTGAAATATTTTTTTGTAGTAAGGCAGGATTTCTACTAGAATATCCAAAGAAGGTATCATCCGTAAACAATCTACAGAGTGCCAACCCTGCCCTAACCTTTGACAGAGGTGTAACAGTACTATATAAGAACAAACTATAAAAAATCAGTTGAAAAGGGCTTAACTCATCAGATGGATACAAAGCAGAAATACATCTAATAAAAACACAGACCAGACGTGGCAGGGTACTTATACATTCCAACAACAAACCAGTACAGATCTGAGAGCACTCGCAGTTACTGACAGCTAGTTCAAAGCCAAAAACAACTAATGAAAAAATCATGCATCTAAGACTAAAAAGCATGTATCTTCCTTATTTTCAAGTGCATTTAAAATCGAATTGTAAATTTCCAAGAGTTGATGTGAAGTTGAATGTTTGGTAAAAAAATCCAGACTGGCAAAGGTAAAAGAGGCCATGTTCAATCATTATGGACTGTATAGATAAAATGTGTGTAAAGTGTGTTCTACTTTAATTGAAGATTCCTTCGTATGTTTATCAAAATTTTCTCCATATCTTAATTAACTTTTATAACTTACTGTGATAAAACAAAAAAAACATGCAAAAAACAACATACATGTGACAGAACTTTGCTTTTTAAACTTTTTACAACAATTTACTTCACATAAGAATACATATGATATATGTATTTACTTTGTTTTAAATGAAAGCGGTAAAAATTAATATTAATTTTCGAATTCCACCGGCGACTGTATAAGTCTAGTTAAAAGTTGAATGCCGTGTTGAATATAAGAAAAGATACGTTATAACATTTTCACACCTGTTTTAGGGTGCTGAGTCCGATATATGTCAAAGGAACCTTAGGTTTCAAATGGATGGTACTAGTGCTCATTTCCTGTTCTCTTTCGTCATAAAACTGGACATTCGTTACGATCGTTTGAATCATAAACCGTCAAAATTGTTTATACGTTATCTCAAATTTAGACACTTAAAGATCACATAAACAAATGAAAAAAATTAAAATACTAACAATAAAATCTAAGCATGAATGTTGATGATCCTCAACGTAATCCTTTTATCAAGCAAATATGTGGTAAGTTGTTGCACAAAAAAATGCGATCCTAGCAAAGTAAAAAAAAGGGTGATTTTATTGTGAATTTTTATATTGGGTAAAATAAAAAAAAAAATCAAATAAATAAGAAGATGTGGTTTGAGTGCCAATGAGACAACTCTCCATCCAAGTCACAATGTATAAAAAGTTAATAATTATAGGTCAAAGTACGGCCTTCAACACGGAGCCTTGGCTCACACCGAACAGCAAGCTATCAAGGGCCCCAAAATTCAAACAGGAAAACCAACGGTCTAATCTATATAAAAAACGAGAAACGAGAAACACCTATGAACCACACCAACAAACGACAACCACTGAACAACAGGCTCCTGACTTAGGACAGGTGCATAAAAATGAAGCGGGTTTAAACATTTTAACAGGCGCCAACCTTCATCCTAACCTGAGACAGTAGTGTAACATTACAACATAAAAAGACACACTATAAAATACCAATTGAATAGCCGACCATACGGTATGGGTTTTTCTCATTGTTGAAGCCGTACGGTTGCATATAAATTCTTACATCCACTTCATTTGAACTTTGGTGGATAGTTGTCTCATTGGCAATCATATCACATCTCCTTATTTTTATAACTCGATCAAAAAGACATAATGAACCTTTTAGAATGAAGCTGATGTCCCAAAATCGCCCACAAAAAAAAGGCCGGCAACGTTACTTTAGATAGTATATCATGCCAAAATTCTGGTGATACAATGATTTTTTATTACCTCTTTTTGCATTATAGCTTCGTATCATAGAATTCCTTACAAGAAATTATAACTAATCAAATCAGTTATTTAAACATAAAAGTATCAAATTGATTGATTTTCAGAATCTTTTATATAGTTACATTTTTGTTCTGACATCATTAAAGCATATCAACATGTATAGCGATGACCCCTACATCAGAGGGTCATATTTTGAATGCCTAAAACGTTACAGAAAAATGAGAAAAGAAGAAATGAGAAAATTCAAGAATGATTTTGTTAATAATTTTGTTAATCTTCAAAATGAAAATCACAAAAAGCCTATTGGATATTGGTTGAACAATTAAAAGGAGATAGCAATGATAAAAAGGAACCAAATATCAGTTTTGAAATTGGAAAATCATTTTAGATCCTTTAATAAAGATACAATTGATAAAAATGAATTGATTCTACAACAGCTTTAAAATAATTTAAAAAAATAACTAATGTTTTAATGAACAAGACTTAAGATCACAGAGTCTGGACTACTGTGGATTGACCATGATACTAAATGAAATGATAAAATATGGCCAATCAATTTTAAACATATCATTTTTTAAAAATGTTAACAAATTTTGTTCAGCAGAAGATATTCAAATATATGGTCAAGGGGGTATATTTCACATACATAAAAAGGGTACACATATGATCCTTCAATCTATAGAGTTATGACCATAGAAAATGAAAACAACACTTTATAATTTGCATGCGTCCGAAGCGCCTTTCGGAATTTACCTTCATCAGGAACGCTCAAAGTCGAATATTCGAAAGTCAAGGATACATAAGAACCGAAACAGTTGAAGAGCTATACGAAGAAACAGGACCTAAATTAATAGCCAAATTTGTTTAAGGTCAATATTGCCTGAGGGAGTTGAAACCTTAGTTTCATGTTAATTTCTAAGGTTATTAACGTACAATCTAAGAAAGGTTGGTTATAAATCATGGTAGTACCGACTGCTGAGCTGATGATATGCCCGGGGACTGATAGTCCACCAGCAGCGCTATCGACACATTTTCGCAGAATATTTAATAAATTACTTATAGCATTTTTTATGAAGAAAACACTGATTTCAGGAGCAAATTGGATTTTTTTTTAAAGAAATGAATCACATTTACAATGTTGTTCTATGAAATGCATGCGCCACACTAGTCATTTACACAATACAGTTATTCATATGTCTAGTATGAAATACACCATAAATATGACCTTTGCATATAAAAAACTTTTGAACTGGGATAGATATTTAAGGACATTTGGTATCAAACGAGAGCTGAAATGTATCAGTGAATAATTTGCATATATTTATCCTAGTTTTGAGCTGCCCATTATTTAAGTAATGTTTGTCTATTTAAAAGGTCAACTTATGTAGGGTATTCACTTTTGGATTTCCCTAACGTCGACTCTTTTAAAGTGTCCTTGAATTTTTTTGTTGTTTACTACAACATGATTGCTAGTATATATAGTATATGATTTAACTTGAAGCTTGTCAGTATTGGACACTGAAGTATATACTACACAAGTTCAAGTGAGTAAATGTTACTTCGTTTCGAGATTTTGATATCTTTTAATATCTTAGGTTATTGGTTTAATTTACTTTTCTAAGTAAATTAAAAAAAATGTCTTGTCGTTTGGTAATGCAACTTTTATGCTTTGAATGTTTGTATTACATAACGAACTGATATTGTGTATTACTAACGACAGTTTATGAAATATATTTGAGGGTCAAATTGAATCTTTTCTTTGAAGTTGCATATAGGCAAAACTAGTTGTCTCAGGAATTTAAACGAGCTTTTGCAATTTCACGAGACAAATTATGGACTATATAGAATCTCTTCCTTCCAGATTTTGCAATGATGTTTAAATTTTTGCATGGGCCACAAAGGTCATAGAATAAAATTTAAAAACTGACTCTCAAAATAATACTTTAAGTTTCTAGTCCCAGGCATAAGTGTTGCAGCTCTGGAAATGATTTAAGATGGCCGTTGTTGTTCTGCGGTTTGCACGTTGTGTCGACTATTATATTATTTGTTTGTGCGTTTCTCTGTGATGAGTGTTCTTGCGTGTGTTTGTGCTGTATTTCTGTCACGTAGTGTTGTCATTTTAGCGATATTTTTTAACATTGTCATATAAGCGGGAGGTTTGGCTAGCCATAAAACTAGGTTCAACCCACCATTTTTTCTTAAAATGTCCTGTACCAAGTCAGGAATATGGCAGTTGTTATCAAATAGTTCGTTTCTATGTATGTTGGCGTTTGTTTTTATTGCACTTCAGTTTTCCTGTTGTTCCTTTGTTTTCCTCTTATGGTTGATGTATTTCCCTCGGTTTCAGTTTGTGACCCGGAATTGTTTTCTCTCAATCGATTTATGACTTTTGAACACCGGTATACTACTGTTGCCTTTATTTATTCCATATACGACATCCAAAAGGGATAGAACTATGGTTAAAAAGGTATCGAGTTATTAGAAAAATATTTTCATTCAGAATTTAAAACACAATTCTATTTTCAACAATAATGTCTAGTTTAAAATGAACTCGACAACATTAAATAATTGACCCCCCCCCCCCCCTCAATTAAAAAGTGTTAAACGTAGAGACGGAGTTTTTGAATTACGCATAACACTACTGTGGACAAAAAGAATACTTGCAAATATTATTAATAATCTACCGATAAATAAAATGTTTTGGGCTTATAATTATGCTCTACTCTAACTTCAAAAAAAGATGGCCCTGTCTTTTTTTTTTTCTTTCAAGGAAGTCAAAGGGCTACAATGAAATTACACCTTTTTGTAATTTTTACCAAGTCTTTACTGCATAATACTGACTATTTGTTTTATTTTTCTACAGACAGAAAGCATTGCTGTTTACTCAAACATGACAACCACTAGCATTTTCAATAAGTATTTATATATTGTCAATCATTACATTTGGAGTGTACTTTTAGAGAGAGCGATTCTAAAAGAAATAAATGAATAAATTGAACCAGTCAAAAATGAACCCATTCCATTATATGTTAGATATATATACACCTCAAATGACCTACTTCAGATTTTTAAATTGGTTAAAACTATAAGCGTTATCTGATTTTAATGAAATGCGTTTTCACAAATTTTAGGAAAAGCAAAAGTGTCTGTTTATGTCATTATCTTTTGTTAAGTATTATTTCTTACACACTGAAACTTATTGTTCTCTTCTTTTTTTTGCCATACAGTGACATCTAGTAACATAGAATTCCTGCGGGAAAAGTGGAGTTACTGGTTTGACACACTGGACGTAAATCACGATGGAATTATTACACAGGCGGATGTTGACTATACGCTAAAACAGTTTCCTCTTGTTGAAGGTCTCAGCAAAAAAGAGGGAAAGATTGCTGATGATCAGATAGAGAAATGGTGGAATACATACATTCTCAAAGGAAAGAATGACATTTCAAAAGAAGAATTCCTTGATGACTTCGAGAAAGAATATGCAGAAAATAAAACCAATTTCAATGCGACAATTAAATCATTATGTGAGGACATGACAGATATAATCGATGCCGACAAAACCAAAATGATTTCTTTAGACAACTATGTGAAAGCTTTTAAAGCTGTTGGCCTTGACAACGAAACAGTACTCCAGAAAGCATTTGCGCATTACAAACCAAGCCATGGCATAATTCCCATCCAAGAGTATATTGATGACTGGGTTGTATTCATTACTAATGACGATCCTTCAAAACCCGATTGTGTGTATGATGTGTACAAAAATGGACTTATGCAATAAATCGTTGAAAAACAAGTACGCTACATGCCATATTCCGAGATGGATTGATTTGGTCCTGCTTGTAAACATTTGTAATCTTTTCATTTTAGCATTTTAAGACATTAAAATGGCTTTGATTTAACTATTGTTTTATTTTTTGAATTTTATACTAATTATTAAGAAAAATAATGTACGGATAACAAACAAAAAGGATTTTTTCCTGTACTGAAACCTTGAAATTAAAACATATTCCGGTTACTAGTTTCAGTTCAACTGACACTTGTTTCTGGTAAACTAGTAATCAAATTTGGGAAACAAAATGATTACATTTAATCATATCATATGTTGTTTTCAGTAGCATCAATATCTATAATGGACGCAACAGGTCAGCTGAAATTCTACACTTTGCCAGACAAAGTTGTTACCATAGTTTTAGTAATGATACCCATTTTCTAACAAAACATGTATCAAAGCAATACCAAAACACTGGTCTCAGTTTTGATCGTTCCTGGTGAACCATCTAAGGTAGTAATACACAGTTAGAAGTTTAGTTTCGCATTTTGGCCATGATGAATTTTTTAAATATGAAAGTTTTTGTACAATAAAATTGATTTTTAGATAGCTGAAGAATAGTATAGCCTTCCAAGTGGGTTTATATGAACATCAAGATTGTTTTTTGTATGTTTTATAGGCCATTTTCTGTTTGACAGTCCGTATTTTCCCATCCGTACCGCCCATAGGTCCAGAAATTATTGTAGTGTTTTTCAACAAAGATTTGACCCTCGAACTTTTCAATTCAATTTTATGGAAAAATTAGCAGAAATACATATGATTTTTTTTCGACCTCTTGATAGATAAATGTCTATGGTTTCAGGAAAGGTATCACTCTAATGGATAGAAATTCTCCTTTGGACCAAATTTTGGGGACTTTTGTTACATTTTCACCCCCCTTTTTGCAATTTTTTGTATCAAATAAATGCAGATTGTTGCCATGGTTACACCAAAAAGAGATTATATTTCACCATTATAACTATTGGAAATCAAATCTATGGAAGATGCTCTTTCCATAAATAATCACATGCATAACACAAATATAAAGCCTAATTTGTTAGAAAGCAAGAGAAAGAGGGTGGTTAAAAATTATGAGTGTCAATTTTAAGTTTTTTTTCTAACTGTGTATTGCTACCTAACTACAGCGACCCCCGTGACCGTAATTCAAACGTTGGAGTGCCACCGTTTTGATGAAGCTGACTTTGATGAGGAAACCTTGCATTAATACAAAAGTTACAGAATAACAAATACGGCAGACAGTCATTATCATTATCATAATGCTTCTCGTAAACAAATACTATTACTCGCACATCTTCTAATGTAATGTCGTGAAAGGAACTTTAACATTGAAACATTATATATCAAACCTCTGAAAGGTTCTTGCATCTTTCAACAAGAAGGGCTACATGCGTTATATACTAAATAATTCATTTAAATGGTCGCAGTATTCAACCTACAGCTGGGCTACCCTGACTATATTCCACTTTTTCAAGTACACTTTCACACTGCTTTCCAAGTAGTATGCAGTATGTTATTTCCTTGTCCATGGTAGTGGTATTCCTGTTTGATAGTTGGACTGTGTTGGGTTATTTATTGTGTTTTATACTTTTACGACATATGGTCTAGATAGGCAATAGAGAATGATTGTTCGTCTGTACCAAGTCATGCTATCTGGACCATATGTCCATATGTTGTTCGTTGTTGTTTGCCTTTGTTTGTACATATATTGGAGATGTTGGTGGTTGGTGTGGTTTGTTGTGCTCTCCAATATGTTTGGTAATTCCTATTGTCTTTTTTATGTATTATTGAGTTATGAACTGCTTTTGACGGAAGAAACCCCATAACTTTGGGTGGACTAAAAGGGGTTCTCCATTTATTTTTAGAAACTATTTAAAAAAAAAACAAACTGAAAACGTCGAAAACCGAATTTAACCTGCCATTATAATTTCAATCATTTTCAAGAAGTCGTGCTCCATTTATTATCCGGAAACCAAAACATTTTGAATTTGTCGAACAATCAAGTACCATAACTCTGGAACGGTAAAAGTGTACACGATATTAATTGATCTTAAGCTGTCCTTAGTGGTCCAAAATATTCCATTAAAATTTCAATTAATTTGAAAAAGGGGTTCTCCATTTATAATCCGGAAATGCAATTGTTTTTTTTTTCCAATATTTCCAACGATCAAGTGACACAAATCTGGAATAGTAAAAGTGAAAACGACGAAAATAGAATTTGAGCAGTGTTTACTGGTCCACGCATTCCATTTAAATTTCAACTATTAAAAAAAAACAGTTCTCTATTTATCATTTGGAAAACGAAAGTGAGACGGACGGAGGACAATCATGAGAATTCATATATACCCGGACTCTGTCGAGCGGGGGTATACAAAATTCATTTGATATAATGAAAGCAAACTTCAGTTATAACAAGAAATGTAATGTATACACCCACATCTTCTCTTATTCATATACGAAAAACTGTATACTATTTTTTAACAAAAATAGCCCCATAACTATAGAATCACTTATGATGTGAAAATCAGTACAGTCGAAATGTATATTGTCTTTATAAAACCTAGGATCATGTCACTATTTTCTACGGATACGTGAAATCATACTTGAATCCAAGAGAGACGTTCACGTGGTTGTCTTATCTAGTCATGTCTCATTTATTATACTATTTGGAGAATGTGTTGTTGATGGCAGATCATTGTTTCCTTTTGGTTTTTTTTTTCACAATTTGCATAGACTTGGGAAGATTCAGAGCTTGACATATTATATAGACACCTGTATTTTGTCCTATTTTCGTTGTATTTTTTTTTTAATTAACGTAACCCCCCCTCGTTATAAAAGTGACATGCTGATCAATATGAGCTGATAGTTGTTCGCCTGATGTCTAGAGGCAAGTACTTAATGGATATAAAAGACATCAGACTATAGATGAAGGATGCAAGCTACTGAAAACGTTATTTTTTTAAATAATGCCTGTGGTCACGTACGAATTTCAATGATTTTTTTCATTCACTCATAATGTTTACCGATTGTCTGGACAATGCACCTGAATTTCACGATGAAAATACATATTCAACAGAACGGTTTTGGTAACTTGAACGATGAGTATTTGCAGAAAATTGACATCTATTATACTTCTATTGTTTAGAATTGAAACACACATAAGAAAATAAGACAAGTAACTTTCTTCCTATGTATCACCTTAGATGACAAAAAAGTAAATAGAGAGCTACTATATTTACGTATTACCGAATGAGTCTGTGCAATTTTAAAGAAAGACAGGACGACTCTTAGTTTGCTCGCATTCATTATCCACTCAACAAATAAAAAGATCAAATCTAAGTAACACTAGTTACTAAATTTCTAACTACTGAATCATTATCGTTATGTCTTAATCACCACCGTGTTTGAGTTGCAACTTCAATCTCTGATAAGTTTCATCTTCAGATAAGATCATTTAGAATAAAGCGGTTGTTTAGTGATGTGTTAAAGGGAAAGTTTACTTTGGAATTGAAATGATGCATGTTTTGAAAACTTTATTCGTACGATTATTGAATAATTTTCCTATTTTATTATATTTCTATTTACCACGTGGAAAATAAGGATATAGGGGCAGCACATATAAACTGCTTCTATTGTAAAATCGTATGGATAAGAGCAAGAACATATTAAATAAATGAAAAAAGTTAAAATATTGAAGAATATCTATCATACAAAAAGAACGAATTTGCCAGAAATTTAGGGAAATTGGTGTCTCAAATTGAAAGAAATATAGTTTCGATATTGTTCTCGCATCGCAAACACTGTTTTTGCGTGTATTACTATATTTGCATTGTGTATGCAGTTTGAAAATAAAATTCTCCCAACCTCACGGAATTTTCTGTATCCTCCAATACATCACAAATATTCGTACTAGGTTCTTAGTTGTAAAGACGTTTCCAATTGTGATTAACCGTTATTTGATCTCCAAATTACACCCATCAAAATCCTTTTGTGATCCGTGTAATCAATAAATTCAATTATTAGTGTTGTTTCCTTGTGCATCGAACAAGCCTTTACAAATGCTATATATAGACTGGTGGGAAAATTTAATTTCCATGCATGGTTTTATCTAGTTCTGTCTTGGCTATCGAAAGGCGAATGAACTGTCAGTTATCAACCCTTATAAATAAGAGACTTAAATAGTTAGTTTGTTATATCTTCTAGTTTAATAGAATTGTAGAATTTTATACATCAAACAAAAAGCTATGTAAATTTGTAGCATATGAAAAGGTTTAATAACATTAAAGGTACCAATAACAATGCACCAGATGCGCATATCGACAATAAGCGTCTCTTCAGTGATGGTCGAGCCCAAAATATTTGAAATCAAAAACCTGATACAAATGTTCTGCTGATAATACGAAGAATGGACAAAAAAGTAAAGCCAAACCCGCGCAAGGAATCAGAGCTTTGCATGAGGGAGATACATTCCTCAATTCAAAATATTTTCCAAAACAATAAAGTCTAATAAAAAATGTCCGTAATTTCATGTCAGTACCTCCGTACTGGATACTGGGCTTGTGATGACCTAAAGGTAGTAACAACATTAACGGTACCATCTGTTTTTTCTGCGCCAGATGCACACATTGACCATTAGTGTCTCTTCGGTGATAGTCGTGGCCAAAATATTTGAAAATGCATAACCTATTTACTAGTACAACCGTTCAAGAGCTGATAAAACCAACATGGATAAAAGATAAAGCAAAACTGGACAACTTTGCATAAGGACATACATTCCTCAATTTAAAATGATTTCCAAAATTTTCAAACTAATAATTCCAATAAAACAAATATAACAGTTAATTGGGTAATTCTTTTTGAAAGTAGTACGGATAAATATTTTTTTTTGTTTTTTGGTATGATTGTGCTATCACTTACATTTTTCATCTTAAAATACAATATTTGGTGCCTAAAAATACCGAAGTTAGCAATATCTTGTGAATCATGATAATGACGGGTGATACAAAGTTTTTGTCTAAGTACACATTTGACATTGCATCCTTATGGTAAGATTTTGTACATAACAACTTACAGTTTCAAGGTAAATACCTTGAGCATATAAGTATATAATACGAATCGGAATTTTGGTCTTCACTATACATTTTGGCCAGATCCATACCACTTCCGGTAAGTTTGTATAATATTCTTGAAATTACATCAGGAGCATATATATTGTTAGATATACTGTTCCCAGATTACATATATAATATTTTACTAATCAATTAAATTTAAAAAAAAAATGAATAAGGAATGATCAATCGTCTCTGAAAAAAATTACCTATATGATTTAGTGTAACACTATATAGATATTTTTTTCAGAGACAAGTGCCTGTGATTAAAATGTCCTTGTTAAACTGTATGTGTGTATGGATCCATTTGTTCTTAGGCAATATATCTTAAGTCTAAGGGCTGTCAAGATCAGATACAGCAACATTGAATTGCTCCTTTTCCAAGGTATTGTGTGTTATGTCTGATACACACACACACACAGTCATCAAATATTTATATTTTCTTTTTGCAAAGATATTAAAGATTTGTCAATATCTAAGAGCTAAATAATGCATTATTCGAAATTGGAATAATCATAAAATTATACGTATTTAGATTTCTTTTCGGAATAGCTCGCTTTTACAGAATTTTCACTCAAATGTATTAAATATTCTCATCTTCGACATCTTTGAAAACCCGACGTGCCAACAGTTGGTCAAATCTTTTACTTAATTTTATAACAAATGAATAGATTGAATTGGTTCATCAATTTATTCATAGTATTATCTTCAAAATTCCATTTAGTACAATATGTATAGCAGTATTGTGGCAATGCTACATCAACCTAACAACACAAGTTTATGACAACATAGACATATGCATGCGTTAGTCAAAGAAGTTACAGAAGCAGTTGAGTGATTATTATATAATATTTTATTCCTTTGTGAGACAATTTTACCAATCCAGAAGTATATTCTGTTTCATCTAGCCATTTTGATTATCGGTAAATTTCAGTCGAATTTTATAGTTTTCTTGAGAGATTCAAAAATAGATTTGTGTATCGGCTGAAATAACACGACTGTCATTCGGTATATCGAGAAAAATGATCGTGAAAGAATAAGTAACGGTGGTCAAGTAATGCGATTGGATCTTGAAAGATCTTGACAAAATCGTGAAGGAAATCTTATCGAGAAGACAAATGCAACGTCAGTAAATAATCTTATTTAATGAATTATAATGACAAATATAGGAAAAATAAAAATGTCTGTCAAAATGGTTTAACATTATGATCAGTATCCTAGAAAAATCAAGGTTTAAAAGTAAACCGTTTTTACAAAACAACAAACGGCAGATTGCTCATCGAAATTCCAAAGACACAAACATGAAAAATCATGATTTGTTTTCATATTTTGAATGTATAAACTAGTTTTCTCTTAAAAATGTCGTTCCATATTTCTGTTTGAAATGGTTCTTAAAGTTATTTTGTGTTAATAGTATAATCAGACACTTTGCAAAAAACGAAAATATTTGTTAAAAATTTGATATATCGGATCTTGAAAGATCGGGTACCGCTTTTTGGTGATCGTGAAAGATCTATTACCGTTTATTCGTTAATGCAAAAATCCACGAAAACGATCAAATCATTATTTAATAACATGATAACTTAAATTTGTAATTGGAATAGCAAACGACATTGGATTGGCATGACGTAATCCGGTTCACTTTTGTTTGTCTTCCTGGAATGCCTACATTTTATACAAAATCTATTCCTCGAATGCCTACAAAAATAATTGAATAGATGTTGTTTTAGTAATTAGATGTTGTTTTAGAACAAAATTTGATAATAAGGAAAAGAGTATTTTAAGGGTAAAAATTATTTTCACCTTTAAAATATAATTTAAATGAAATGGATAACACAATATTTAATTATTTAAGTTAAAAAAAATAATAATAAGAAAAAAGTATTAAGATACAGAGTAAAAAATTAAAATTGAAACAAATAAATGAAAAAACGACTGTTTAAAGTTCATTTATAAATAAAAATCATTTAAAGTTTAAAGTATTATTCATAGAAACATTTAATGTATGAGCAAACAATTATTGGTACGACGTGCTGCTGTATTGCCATTGGTGCCAGTAGAATAAGTCAAAGATGTCTGGTTCAATGCTCTAGAAGATCTTAAGCGGCCCTTACAAGATGCCAGCAACTACAACACGCAACAGGTGGAAAACGTGTTGTTTTACGGAAGTGAAATACAGGGAAATTGAAGATAAACTCTCCAACCTAAAGATCCGACACCAGATACATTCACTGAGCTAATATAAAAATAAGAAGATGTGGTATGATTGCCAACGAATCAACTCTCCACCAGAGACTAAATGACATAGAAGTTTACAACTAAAGGTCACCGTACGGCCTTCAACAATGAGCAAAACCCATACCGCATAGTCAGCTAAAAAAGGCCCCGAAATGAAAAATGTAAAACAATTCAAACGAGAAAACTAACGGCATGATTTATGTACAAAACAATGAACGGAAAACAATGTAATATACAGCAATAAACGAAAACCACTGAATTACAGGCTCCTGACTTGGGACAGGCACATACAGAATTTGCGAGGTTAAACTAGTTTGTTGGCTACACTTAAGTTTTTTTTATCAATCCATAAAAAAATCATCTCAAACATACAGAAAAAAATGAAAAAATATTAATATATTGCAAACAAACAGGAAAATAAAAAAATTACCTGGAATTTTCAATGGGAAACTCAGCTTACCTGCACATATTATAATACTGTTTGTTTTGACTACACTTGATTTAATTTTAATAATTTATAATAATAAATAATAATAATCTATTTTATTAAAGTGTCACATACTTGTCTACAAAGTTATATACAGATTATATAATATACATTGCACAATAATAAAATAAGACAAATACCCAGCCTAAGTAGGCTTATGAGACACTATATATACAACTATACTAACTATTTAAAAAAAAACTAAAATACCAATTGTGAAACGTAGTAAAATGTCAAAAATGTTAATTATCAGAATTTTTCACATAAAAAAACATAACTTTAAATAAAAACGACACAATTGAGTATGGCATAAAAAATAAATAATAGATAAATAAAATGAATATAAAAGAGGTTATATAAAGAATAAAATGAAATAAGTCACTATTCCTTGAATGCCAACATTTTTTTACCTGTATTTTGTCGGCAGATTAAAAGGTGTAGGCATTCAAGGAATAAACCGATAACACCTGACCGACTAGTTGCCCTATAACAATATAAGTCCGTCTGTCCATCCTGCATAAGTTTTATGTCGTATGAAAAGTTAAGATTGTTTCATCGAATTTTCATAAATTTTTATGCAGTCATATACATAAAACGAAGATCCTTGCTGACTTTTGTAAAAATAGTGGGAAAATTGTTTTAAAAAAAATGACGGAAAACAACTGTCATAGTCCTGACTTGGCACAGGCATTTTCCTAAGAAAATGGTGGGTTAAACCTGGTTTTGTAGCTAGATAAAACGCCCACTTGTATGGCAGTTGTTCAATGTTCCGTAGTATTGCCAAATTGGGTTAGCAACCCAAACAGACATAATTGGTTAATAATTACAATAACTAGGATCCAGCAACCAAAACTATTTAAACATACACCACAGACATACAACACAACTGAATTAAACATTCAATCACACATGCACTTAAATCAAACAAAGACGACAACAAAAAAAGTGTTTGTAGTTGATAATATAGTCGGTATATAGTAAAGCATAATGACATATACACTTTCCCGATTTAGTAAAATATAAATACAAGGTATACAAAATGAAAACAACACTATAAAAACCTCAAGTGTCCGAATCGCATCTCTGGACCCACCTGCATACTGCTGGATGCACATATACAGAGCCACATCAAGAGTTATACGACTAATATTAGACATTTGCGGAAACTGTCATACACCTACTTACACTTACAGGTAGCATTTAAATCTTGGGTCGTTTCAAAGTGTAAATACAAACCGTCGGTTCAAAACAAACACTAACTCCTATGATGTTTTTCTATAGTTGACCAACGGGATTTCAAAGAAATATCGATAAAAAAATGGCGTCTTGGCAGCCTGAGGTGAAATCGGGACAACTTGGACCTTAAGGCAAATCGGACTAAGACAACTCGGGCCAATTTATAGACAACTCGGACCACTTTTATAGACAGCTCGGAAAAGTTTGAAAGACAACTCGAACCAGTTTGAAACACTTGTCAGACCAGCGGCTTTTCGTTGTTTTTACGTTTAATATGATTTTTGTTTGTTTTTGTCTAGATTGTTTTCTTCTCAGTTTCCCCTAACTGACCATCCTAGCTTGCTGTGACAACTTGTCAGTTTGATGCATTTCAATAAGTTCTGTTACTATAAATTGTTGATTGACAGCCTAACGAGATCAATTAGAAAAATAAAACAACAAATATCTTTCAATGCAATGAAAATATAAAGCAGATATATATTCGTCTTTACATATACTAGCCCGAGTTGTAATAAGTGATCCTAGAAATCTTTCAAGATGGTTGAAATGCCTCTTACCGTCAGACATCAAATGTTAATTTTTGACTATCTAATTAATTCGTCACATATGTCATATGGTGTAGCATTCTTCTTTTTTCTTTGGTTGTTACGATCGTGTGATTCAAAGGGTATTCCATGTGCCTGAAGCCTTGTTTAGATTTTTAAGTATATGGATACTATGTTTCAATTTATATATATATATATATATATATATATATATATATATATATTGACGGTCAATATAACAAATCTTGCAAATTACAATGTAAAATGCACAGAAAGAACATTGAAGTCCATTAACGTATTGACCTCGCCAAAAGTCCATAATAGATAAATATATCACCAAAAAAAATGTGAAAAAAATAAAACCATTAAAAAACGTTCTTAGTAAGTAATTAACGCTTCAACCAATTACAAGTATATCAATTGGTAAAAGAAATATTGTTTTCTGATCATTAAGTCTTGTCTTGTCTTTCACGATCAAAATAATGCGTTGCCTGATCTTTCACGATCAATAATGATTAAAAATCAACAAAATTATACTTTTCAAAAATAATATGAACTTTTAAAGTAATGACATAGTTTTATTTAACTGTACTATCTGACAAACTAAAGATTAAGTTTTAAATATGTCATGATATATTCGAATGTAACCATCATAGATACAAAACGTGATTTTTCCTTAATGATTGGCATAGGAATGTGTATTGCCTTTTGTGTTTTCTTAAACAGTACTGCACTTTTTTCTTTGCCGCTGTGCATAGTATAATCAAGGAAGTCGAATCATTTTGACATACATATTTCTTTTTTCCTGATTTGTGGCACCTTATGAAAATACAGAAGATTTTTTCACCAATTTTGAAGTAAACTTACATCTAATTGCATTCACGATCCGATCGCAATGCTTGACCACCGTTAGTTATTCTTTCACGATAATTTTTCTCGATAAATCGAATGACACTCGTGAATAAGTCTTATTTTTTAAAAACACAATGGCTTAGTAGTTCAGTACAGATGTTGTGCCTCCTACCGATCTTTTGAGTTAAGCCAATTACAACTGATTTTTACAGTTTGTTCTTATGTTGTGCTGTTACACCACGGGTAAGGGGGAGGGTTCAGTGCTCACAAACTTGTTTGGCAATCATACCACATCTCCTCATTATTATAATCAAACCTTCTACTTCTATTCGACTAAGCATAAATAATCATTTGCCGCATTATTTTTGTCTTTTATGTGTGCTCTATAAAGAATACAAGGTCCTAAGATTATGTAGCATCTACGTTTTCAAGCTTAAAAAAAATATACTGTATAAAATATATAAAATTTGTTGAAATATGTTAAAAAAAGTATAAAAAAACGTGAAAAAATATCCTTTCAACTGAATGAATAGGTCAGAATACATTTTGCGATTTTGAATTAAGGCTACAGTAGTTTATCGATGTTCAAATCTCTTAAATCGATCAAGAAGATGCAAATCAAGGTAACAAAGTTCTTCTCTGTACACAGACGGCTATACCGACTGATTTGGGACCATTCATCGAAAACCCCTTTTTGCATTTTGACCAAAGAGAAACTTTGCAACGGAATTATATTCAAATTCAATTAGCAAATACCTGTGTTTTATTTTAATTACAATTTTCATTTACAGATTCCGTAATTAACAAAAATAACTACCACCATGACGTCGAAAACTGCCCCTATGCAGACGAGGACTACCCCTACGAAGACTACCCCTATGCCGACTAAAACTACTATTACGCCGGAGACAACTACAACTATGCCGACGAAAACTGCCATAACACCGGAGAACAATACCTCTATGCCGAAGAAAACTACCATGACGAAAACTGCCATAACAACGCAGAAAACAGCCCCTATGCCGACGAAAACTACCATTACGTCGGAGAAGACTACCCCTATTCCGACGAAAACTACCGTTACGCTGGAGAAAACTACCCCTATGCCGACGAAGACTTCTGTTACGCCGGAGAAAACTACCCCTATATTGACAAAAACTACCCCTGTGCCGACGAAAACTACCATTAGTATTACGCCGGAGAAAAGTACTCCTATACCGACAAAAAGTACGCCAGGTCAGTCTTCGTTTTATGACTGTTTTCACGTGTTAAAGATTTTTTAGTTTGAAATTTTCTCTTTTCTTTCTTTTGTATAAACAAATAACATATTTCCGATACTGTATAAATAAAAGGAGGCTGCATGCCTTGGGTAGAGTCAATGAGACAGCAACCAAACAACGCCGAAACCCTTCTCAAAATATCTATTGAAATATCACTGATTAATGACATAAGATGTGTTTGCTATGACTAAACATTACTTTAAATTTTAAAATAGCCATTGCCTTCGTTGTGTTGATAATTCTGGCCCTTTAAATATTCAATCGAGGGGCATCCTTTAATAATCAAACTGAATAGGGTTGTATATCGTAGACCATACATACATAGATTAACTCCCGACATAGTTTTTAACGTGGTAAGGAATGTCCTTTTTTCAATTGCAGTTTTTAGCAATCTGTATGCATTTATAATTAAGCCAATATGTTGAAATACGACATAAACGTACACTTATGACACTGTGATACTTTAAGGTGGCTGGGTGTCTTCCTCCATCTTGGATTTTGAAGTAGCAGATAACAATTGGTCTAGATCTTTAATGAAATGTGCAAATTTTGAGAGTAATATGTAATTCATATGTAAGACTTTTCATGTTAATATAAAAAACTATGTGTTTTATCATATTTACGGCTGTATTTTCTATTAAACACAATATTTTTGCTTGAATCATTTTTTTTCAACTTTGCCACATAAGGGGAGATAACTCAGATAAAGTATTTTTTATAATAGAAAGTGTTGTGAATTTACCTGTAGCAAGAAAACAAGACCGGTGACCCCGTTTTTTCTTTTTCTTATCAGAAAGCATGTTATAAGAGCTATCTTCTCACATTTTATCTTAAGATTCTATGGTGTAGTTTTCTTTTTATCACACACAATTGGATTTTCCATGCATAATCTATACAAAATCCGAAAATTTTTCACAACCTGTAGTGTGAAAAAAAGTCCGGTGACCCATACTTTTTATTATATTTTGGAAAAAAGCATGATAAAAACTACATTTTGACAAATTAATAAAAAATTCTATGGATTTTAATTAAAACATCCACCTTAAATTTGAGTAAAGATTTTTATTTTTTTTATTAACATTTTTTTTGCAGGGTGTATGTAAAAGCACATTGTGCTGTTCATACTCAAAATGTACGCGCGGTTAAAGTTTTTATAACGCTGTTAAACTACGAAAAGTTGCAACATGTAATTTTCTTTCATTCTCATTCTCTGTTCGGAAACGAAAATTCACTTGAATTAATTTCAGACCAGAGCCCTTTTCGAAAGGTCTTCCAATCATTACTTAAATGACATCTTCATGTGTGCACTTAAATATTCTAAACATTATGGCATATCTATAAAGTCACATTGACTGTCATAGTGCTAATTTGGTACTGACACTTTTTCTTATCCATTAGAATTGGTAGTGTGAATCAAATATTTAGGAATCTTCCTTTAATTTGTTTTATATTTACGCTTAAATCTCTAATTGATATTATATATATATATAGGCTATACTTATGCTATTTACCATAAATGAATAAATGAAATAAGACTAATTATTATACAGAAACATTGCAATGGTAATATCTAATTTCGCGTCATGTGATTTCATGCAATAGCAAATTATTCACCTATTAAAAGAAAGTAAAAGATCCATTACCATTATTAAGGTGAGTTAGTTTATAATAAGTTGTTTTTTTACAGTGGTGTCTGGAATTGAGTTCTTGCAGGAAAAATGGAATGTCTGGTTTCGCACTCTTGATGTGAATCATGACGGGATTATCACACGTGCTGACGTTGATTACACACTCAAGCAATTCCCTCTGGTAGAAGGCCTAAGCAAATCTGAGGGAAAGATGGAAGTCGCTAAAATAGAAGCATGGTGGGAGAAATATATCATTAAAGGGAATAATAAAATAACCAAAGCTGACCTCTTAAAAGATCTAGAGAAAGAGTATACCGAAAACAAGAAAAACTTTGTCGCAAAAATGAAAGCCTTGTGTGAAGACATATTTTGCATTCTGGATACAGACAAGACTAAAATGATTTCACTGGATAACTACGTCAAGGCATATAAGGTATATGGTCATGACAACGAGGCTCTCCTTCGGAAGGCATTCGAATTTTACAATCCAAGCCATGGTGTGGTTCCGTTACAGGAATACATTGACGACTGGCTAGTATTCCTCACCAATGATGATCCATCGAAGAAAGATGTTGTATATGAAACATACAAGGCTGGGTTTGTATAAGCAATGGTACAGAATGATACAGTATATGGAGACTGATTGCTACTTTAATGAGTCTTTGCTGTCAAAATTGTTAATGCTTAACTTTCAAACGTAACTAATAAATCATTTGTAGTCACAAAATTATCTGTGTTTTTAAAAAAGTAATAATTTAATGTTTATTTCCTAGGTATCTTATACAAATGAAAAATACCAGAATAAACCCACGAAATCGTGGGACGTTCATTGGATTACTATGTCTATTTTCAATTTTTGCATTGTCAGTTGAAGATGCGCGTAATGCATAAAGTAAACTGAATACTGTGTATCATGTCTTTGATCCGGGTTTCAACGTCACGACCTATAATACTGAACCTTTTACCATCAACCATGAATAGTTCAATAATTATGATAGAAGAGCAGTCGTTCTGTTTTTGGTAGGGTCAATCGGTTATTAACCTTTAGTTTTAGGTCGTGTGGTCATATTGTAGATTACAATGTCGGGTTGTTTTAGTATAATTTTGCTTTATATTTAGGTATGTTGTGGTGCATTATTGGATTCTGAATTTTTTTGTATATAGTTTTTAGAAAATGTTCGTTTCCTATGTCGATTGGCACAATGATGTTTTGCATTTTTTTTTAAGTTTTTACCCCTCATATCTTTAAAGATTCGGGAAGTTAGTTGCGCAAAAAATGTGAAAAGTAAAAAAAAAGTCTATCATCATGAGATTCGGATTTATATTTTCACAACAAATTCAAAACTACAAAAGAATTCTAAATATAAAGATTTAGTGCAAATCTCCTGTTCATTGGTTCATTAAATCAGGTCAAAATTTGAAGGCATTTGAATGTCAAAGAGCATTGATAATATACTTCAAAGAATTTTGAAAGATGTCAACTGACTCCATAATATAAAAATCTAAAATAGCGCTATACAATGCTGTATAAGACAATTTTGTAAGACAAAATTGAAAATTCCAATTGTTTTGTTAAATTCTAAATTCTGAATGTCTTAAAAATATTATGTTTCAGACAAGAAGTGAAAAAAATAGAGTTTCTATAGAATATAAGTAAATTGTAAAACCAACATAGATTAAACAAAATCATTGTTGTTCATGTACGTTATTGAAAAAAAATGTTTTTTTTTTAATAAAGTTGAAAACAACTGTTTGCCCCGATAAAAACACCCCGTCACAAAAGATGATTAGTCGGTGCTTTCCTTGTAATTGAAAGACAAAGAAAATCTCGAATTCCAATAGAATTTTTGTTTTGGTTGACTTTGGGTTCTCCTTCATTTTAGTCTGATAAATGTTTCCCAATATTTTGAAGATTGAAGTTTTGATCCATCTTTCAGTAACTTTAACTGGTTTCCTGTTTAGAAATACAAATAATTTGTAAACCAATTTGTTACCACCTATTTTTGTTAATCACAATTAAACTGTTTTTCACTACACAGTGTGTCAAACGGACGGTCCAGAAAAGTGAAAAGTGAAGAGTCTGCAAAACATTGTTTACAGTTGGGGAGACATTGCAGTTTTTTTTTTTTTGCGTGAACCCCCTGGGGGTTGTGAATGTAGTAATTTATACAACATGCTATTGTGCATTCTGAGAGAAAACCTAACCCGAATAAGTCAGTCGTTATATTCCACTGCTCTACGGTGGCAACTTTACCTCGCGAGTGGGAGAGTCGATCACGGGGAGGGGCTAAATCTTTGCAATCTTTGTAAATCCGATTTGACAACAATATCTGTTCCGTTCACACAAAGTCCGGATTGAATGACAATGACAAACCACTTGTGGTAGGTAGTTTGACATCCGAATTCAACTAACATTAGTCTTGAGCCTAGAATAAATATACATGATGACGCAAACGCATATTCTAATCCAGAATATGAGTGCGCATACTTTCCATTTACTATTTCTTGCGCAAGAAAACCACGTGCATGCATTAATTTCACTCGCGGAATGTGAACTTTCTCATTTATTATCTAAATTCAGGACACGCCAGTAATAGGCTTGACATAAAACTTTAAATCATGGTCATGATAAAGGTATTCAGGCCTCTAGCTGTTTCTCTTTTCTTTTTCTTTTTTGAGTTACTGTCACGTTATATAAACTTTGAAATTTTTTAAAAACTAAGGATTTTCTACCCCAGGTATAGATTACTTAGCTGTATTTGGCAAAACTTTTCGGAATTTTGGGTCCTCAATGCTCTTCAACTTCGTACTTTATTTGGCCTTTTTAAACTTTTTTGATTCGAGCTTCAATGATGAGTCTTTTATAGTCGAAACGCGGGTCTGACGTGCAAAATTCTAATCCTGGTATCTGTTTAACCATGTTTAACCCCGCCGCATTTTAGTCCTGTCCCAAGTCAGGAACCTCTAGCCTTGTTAGTCTTGTGTGTTTTTTAAATTTAAGTTCATTTATATGTTTCGGAGTTTAGTGTGGCGTCAATTTCGATGAACTAGTATACATTATTGTTTAGGGGGCAACTGAAGCCCCCTCCACTCAATTTCGATGAACTAGTATACATTATTGTTTAGAGGGCAAATGAAGCCCCCCCCCCCCCCACCCACCCCCACGGGTGTGGATTTTTCTCGCTGAGTTGAAGACACATTGGTGGCCTTGGGCCGTTTTCTGCTCTTTGGTCGGGTTGTTGTCTCTTTGACACATTCCCCTTTTCCATTCTCTATTATAGTCTATCTATATATTTCTACATATTTTTTATATAGATTGGTTCTTTTGAGAGCATGTTCAGGTATTTATTCAATTCAAATCAATTCAATATTTATTGGAAAGAGCACAATAGAGGCGTGATCCGAATACAGACAATAATAATATTAAAACAACATATAAATGAAATATAGATGCATGTAACAGCAAGTCATAAGTAAATTCTATGGATACCATAACATTCTAAGTATATTCTATGAATACCATTACATTCTAAACTCATATTAATACCATACACATATACATCACGATTATTCTAAATTTTCATAATTTTACTTTAAACACACAATCACCTATATAAGATATATGTGTATATGCACAAACTACTATAAAGGATTATTATCTGATGAAACAGTATGGTGGTCTCTCAAATTTATAAAACTTCTGAAAACAAGATATTCTTCCAAACTAAGGTTTTCCTGTTGAATATTTGGATCTGTTTAAGTAACATCAGGAAATCCTTAAATTTTATGATGTTTTATAAGACCAAAATATTTTTCAGAATATAAGAGATCCTAATGAAACTGGTGTGTTACTCTCAAGAACAAAATACGAAACCTTAATTCTTATAAGTTGCTTTCCACAGAGTTACACTTCACGTGGAATTGTACTTTTAATTTCTCTATACCACCTCTACCATGAGAACAGACAGCTTCAATAATGAGTAAAAGAATAATTGAAAGCATCCAGGAAATAAAATATAAAGATATGAAAAATAAAGTAGAGGCATTTAGATTATAAAGCAAACTGAGTGCTGAAATTTATAATCCGATTGCTCTGTGCAATTTGCTTTAGACATCCGGTTTGCAGAAACTTGGAATTGGAATTAGGATTAGAACGTTGTATATTAAGCACGAAGAAAAAATGATGTCAACTTCCAACCTTAAAAGGTACATTCAAATGGTAGCTGTATACACTTTTCTATTTACAACTAAAATTCAACGGTGCTTCAAATTGACGTGTGCAAGCAAATATCTACACACAATTACATATTTTCCATAATAGAGATGTTTAACATCATCATTACCGTATTCAAAATCATGAACATTTTTTGGTGACCAGTCATGATCAGCGGTCTCGGGTTCACGTATTGCTTTCCTTTTTTCAAAGAAAGCAACTTGCTTTTAAAGTAAGCAACGTTTTATAAAGTGGGCGTGATTTTAAGATATTGTCGGTGAGTGTATGGAAAATCTATAAAATGTATAATGTTTTTCATATTACAAGTTGCCTAGTTATTTTCAAAGTTTAGGCAAGTGTGTAAAAGTCTGCAAAACGTATTTTCTATGTCATAGTATCGATGGGCCATTTATTTTCACTGGGATTGTAATCTCTATTATTGTTGGAGCAAGTTGGCAAGTCTGAATGGGACTGCATTGAAATAATCAGTGGCGCGAGTTCTTTTCAAAGTTGATGCGATTTGACATTGGGGCGAGTTGACTGGAATTATGATCTTTAAAGATGAGAAAATAACAGATTAATGTGAATCCGACTTCCTAGAGTTCCAAACTGAGTTTATTATGAAAAATATAGCGACATGTCCACACTAGTTGGTCGAAGGACATAAATAAGGTTGCTGTTTGCCGTAGACATCTATGTGTAAGGAAATCATACAGAAAAATGATTATAACGGCAATGTTGTAATTGATGTTTCAATTGTCATTGAGGTACCAAAACTGTCAATATAATGATTTGACAAGTCTGTTTTTCCGCACACCATAATGCAGTGTTCTAATGAAATGAACAATACATACAAAGTACTTTTTATACATTTAAAAAATAATAAAAAAAAAAAAAAAAAAAAAAAAAGGTTTTCCTGTTACACATTGTATGAATGACTTATGGTGCAACATACCTCGTTACTTGCAAATAGTTTATACGCATAGCTAAAAAGAAACACTTACATTTAATTGATTCAAAACTTTCCTGTGCCTTAAAAAATATCTTTCGATAAGGGTGTGTCATTTCAAAGTTTGCCAATAAATATGTTTAAAACGACCATTTTAGATCAACTATTATATCAACATCGATGGGTTAATGACGAAACTGAAACTGACACCCAAGTGACCAGATTATGCCATACTGATCATTTATTTATAAAGTTAATATAATTTTGAATGGGAAAAAAGTATAAAAAAATACCGAACTCCAAGGTAAATTAAAAAAGGGGTAAGTCCATAAAAACTGACAAAATCAAACGCTATTTACCAACGGAATGAGTGGAAAAAAACTGTCATATTCCTGACTTGGTACAGGAATTTTCCGAAGAAAATGGTGGGTTAAACCTGGTTTTATAGCTAGCCAAACCTCTCACTTGTATGACAGTTGTTTATACTTCCGTTATATTGACAAAATTGGGTGAGCAACCCAAACAGACATAATACTAGTCTAATGTGACAATTATTGGGATCCAG